ACACATGTACATATATATATACACACACATACATACATGTACACCCACAGATATGCACACACATCCTCCCACAAGTGACATCTCTGCACAGCTATATATCCCATTCAATATCCCAAAGATAGAGAGCTTTCCTCTGCTAAAGCCAAGAGGTGAACTGTCTGAATCCATTAAGGATAAAAGGAAGACAGCAGGAAAAAGTAATCTCAAAGATATTTCTAAAAATCAGGTTGAAGGGTCATTAAGGCACTGAAAAAAGGTAAGGTTATCTCCTTAGCAGGTCATCTAAGTATTTTTATTAATTTCTTTAAGTGACTGCTCTGAAGAGGGCCCACCTTTCTCTATTTTTCAGCCTGCAGCACTACAAGAGAGATGCTGTATTTTGGGGCTAAAGTGAAACCTCACCTTGTGACTGAGACTGAAGCCTCAGCGGCATCTGGCTTTTAGCAGAAAGAGAGATCATGTCCACATCTATGCTTCACTTTGCCTGTTCCACACCTTCCTCCTGTCTGGCATCTCATAAAACCAACGTGATACTGAGGATGCAGCTGAGAGGAGAACCGTGATTGTGCAGGCTGCCGCTTTCTTGCTGACTCAGCCAACGAGGTGCTCAGCTAATTTCTGCAGTGCTACAGCAGCTTCCTCACAGTGGAGGCGAGGGAATACTTTTAATTGATTAGAGCATCCCAGAAAACCTAAGCTAATTTGTCAGTTCTTGGATGAGCTGTTCTAAAAATCATGTTTCCTGGTTGTAGAGCTAAACCGAAATTAGCCTGGGCTGGCCCTCCCTCACTCATACTCAAGCTGCACTGGTCACACATAGATAAAACTTTTTGGGGAAAGGACAGCTCCCTCCTCTGCATGAGTGTGCTGCAGTTGTGAGTGAGGCCAAAGCCATTGATTTATAAGGAAAGCAGACCTGAAAGGGTCAGTGGCCCTGGCTCAAATAATCTGGAGTCCAGTTTCAAGGCATGAGACAAAGGTGAAATACTGAAATAGACTGACTTCAAAGGGGAAAAAATTAGTAGCATGAGAGCAAATTATACTCTGACCTAACACACAGTATATTCTGTGATGGCTGAGTAACTTAATTTGATAATATGCCTATGGTTTAACTTCAGAAAGACATTGACCAGTAGCGACAAACAAAAAGAAAACTATGGATCCACAGGGAAAAGACTTCATGAAAACTGGAAGAGAAACCTGATGGCAGTGATGTGTGGCTATACAAAACTCAGAATGTGAACTGGACTACACAGTATAATTAAAGGATGTAAAGAATAAAGACAGAACTTCAAAATCTTAGGAGGATGTGATGTTGAAGGCTACAAAGGTGTAAAAATTGAAGAAAGACCTAACAGTGAAAGTTTGGATAGATATGTTTTCTTTGTTAAACAAAACCTGAATAAACAGGTAATTCATATTCTTCTACAAGATAAAGACAAAGTAGAAAAGCAAGTTAATTATCTGGAAAAACAAATGATTAGTTTATAAATTTCTTAAAAAGAAAAACCAAAATACAGGTAGAATCTTCATGTGCAAACGTGCTCTCGGTTTTTTAATTTTATTTTAATTAATGTTTTCCAGTGTGCAACAGGGTGCCCAGTAATCAGAATAGGCATTAAAGTGTTTATAGAAGCAATCTGGATCCTTTAGAAAATATTGAGAACTTTGTATAATACAAATCAAACAATGGTTACACCACAAATATATTTAATTATAATAATAATAAAATATTATACAGTTATCCCAAATCCATTTTTAATATATTTTCTTATTTTAAAAATTATTTTACACTCCTCAATGTCCATGTGCAACATACACATGCATGATAACAGAGTGCACAACATCTGAGAATAGTTTAACAGTAACTATGTTATATGACATGGGCATTTGCCTTTGGAACCTCAGGCTGGGTCAAGTAACTGAATCTGGCAAATACAGTTTCTGTTTCTTCCCAGGTCTTTTGTGGTCACATTTTTGGAAGATCAATTTTGACAGTACTCATTTAAATATCTAGTTACTTCATAGTGAAAGAGGGATAAAAAGGGCCCACAGAAATCTCAGGAGTAATGTATGAATTCAGTCGTAGCGAGAAATGTGAATTAGACCCTTTCTGCTATGTTCTTACAGGAAGGTAATCTTGCCAACATTCAGGAATACATTTTATGTCTTTCTCAGCACATTTCACAGTCTTGTACTTTAGATTTTCTAAGATGATAGAGCCGTAAGGAGTGGGACTATAATTAGAAAAAAATCTAAGATGATTTATTCCCATAACCCTAGAACCCATGATTTTGAGAACAGCACCAAATATCACAAATCTCATGGTGAAGTAGAGATGTCAACACCCAGTGACACAGATAGCACCGTACTGTGAGGCCATATGTTATGTTCCACGTACTCACTACCTTTCTTTTGCTAGAAATAAGCTTGTGGAGAACATATTTAACCACCCCTTCCCAACAACACTGACTGTCGGCAGCTGCCTTATGATAAGCAGTCGTCTTCCCATGCTGCTTTATTCAAGGGATTTCCAAGCTATTTTACTTATGAATGAGTTTTATAGGGTCTGGAAAATAGGTGTAATGAAATAGCAACAGTTTGAGAAATCCTACAGCAGGTCTGAAAACAGGGGTCATTTACAACCATGGCTGAAGTGACTAGAATAAGAATCCACGCGCACAACATATGCTTGCAACACAGTTATATCTGACATTAGTCCCTTGTGCACACACACTCATTACTTTCTTACAGATAACAATTTCCCTCATCGTAAATACTGGCCTTTTAGTAATACAATATGCCATCATCAATTCTCTCATCCTTTATCAAGCAGTACATTTTCATATGATTTATGTGCACACATTTCTTACAATGACAACTGGCATCAAGATAAAGGCAGACAAAAAATCTATTACAAAGCAGGACAAGAACCACCTCTTTGCTTGACATTTCATTAATAAGCAACACACAGCTGCATTCTTCATGTCTCAAAACAACACAGTGCCAAACACAACTGAGTATAGATTGAAAAAGACTTTACCTTGTGGTGAAATAGCAAACTGGATCTCCAACTTCTATTTTAAGAGGATGTCTATTGCATATACCACCTCAAGACTCAACAGATTCAACGGAGAGAATGACAAAAGATGTCCCTGCAACTTGTCTTTCAGAACTAATTCTTTACATATTAGGTCTGGATCTCTGAGAGACCTTCAAGCTTTATTTTATAGACAATACAGCCATTTTATCCTCTAAATAACACAGTTTTAATTTGCTGGGGGCCTGAATGTAACCCTTGCATTACAGCTACTACAAAGAGACTAAGCCCAGGAAAGAAGCAAACAAATGGGGCCTATTATGACAGACCTTGTATAGCAAGTGGGCTGAGCTGGACCGGAGTCAGGAATAACAGGACATCATCCCAGCTCAACGTGACCAAAGCTTTAACTTACTGAAGGAAAAGTTATAAAGTTCCAAATTCTTACTTCACTATGTAACAACAGTTGCCTAAGTCAGAAAATGTGCAGTCAGCAAAGTGTAAAACCCCTGTAAGACCTCTCAGTGACCTCAAAGCTTCCCTGAACTGGAACACTAGAGGTGGGAAACAAAGCTAGATCATCCCTTATCCTGCCATACTGACCCATCTTTAGGTCACTAGCTGGGAAAGTCCAACTTAGAGAGTGACAAATGCTTTGAATTCACAGGTCTCTCTTTTTTTTTTTAAAAACTTTTCCTGATAGTATCAGTGTTAACTGCTATAAACGTTACTACTGTGGTATTAAAATTCTACTTATAAGCACTTATCTTTCAATGGTCTACTCATGGTAATCCAAAAGGAATCAGTTACTCTCTCTTTTAATGCAACACCCTTCTATTATGGTCCAACTGATCCTTTCATAAATGTGTCAAAAAGAAGGTAAATATTTTTCATCTAATAGCTCCTTCTGTGGAGTTCTTCCAGACACTTATTCTCCACAGTTGTAAGGTGATCAATTCACCTTTTTTCACTTTGTTTCATGAAAGACAGGCCCATCAATTTATTTGATTCTATTACCAGCTCTGTGGAGTAAATTTTCCCAGTTTCTGTTCCTGTTAGTGAACATGTGTGTTAAGATTTGCATTCAGTCTTGCAAATAAAGTCTTACAAGTGTCTTGTATATGACATTGGTAATTCCTTATCTCTGCAGGCCAGAGGATGCATCTTAAGCATATATTTGCCTTTTTTATAGATGCATTATGCAGGTGGTTTTTAATAATCCCACGACCACCCAATAAAGCCCCATTTTTACATCCTCCTCAGTAATTATTACTGTTGGTTATAGATGACACTGTACTGCCACAATCCATCCCATTTCTATTTTTCCAATCTTCTTAGGTTTTTCCTGTTTGACATTCCAAGTCTCCTTGATCATGGTAATGCCACCTTCATGTTATTGATACAGTTCTACACTTCTGGTTGTGTCATTATTGACAGCATTATAAAACAAGGAATTCTGTAAATCTCTGTCTACCACTCGAGTTTCTTGACTTTGGCATTATACTTTTTCAGAAAACTGATGTAAAGCAATTCCTTATAATTTCATAACAATCATGTATCCTGCATCTGCAGAAGTAATTAATATGAGGTGCAAAAGGTGCATATTTTTGTCAAGACAGCCATAGAGGCCTGGTGAATTATATGGGTCAACAGGAAGGATTAAGTACCTTCAGCTGCTTATAAAGGGTGCAACTCAAATATAAATGCTTTCACATTAGAAATATCTGTGGGAAATTATGCAACCATTTGCTAAATAAATCCATATCCATTCAGTTATACTGGCAACATGCAAGCAAATTTTAGGCAGTTATTTAAATTCTTTCCATCAAAATACCCAAGTTTAAATATTCATTATTGCTTTGAAAGTTTTATGTTTCATCCTAAAAGGATATACCAACATACACATTAAAATATCAGAAGGAGAGGACTGCTATAAGACTTTCAGTATCCTTCTACTAACCTTAGGTGGTTTAAAAGGATAGTCCGGTGAAAAGGTAATGTCAAGGAAGAAGACTCCACCTTCATATACAGATCCTGGAGGCCCCAGTATAGTTGACCTCCATTCATAAATGTTGTCTCCTTTGGGTCCAGCACTAAAATAGAAAACAAAAATATACTAACTACATACAATCAAGAATATACTGCATCAGTTACACTTTACTAGTAGTACCACTGGCTTTGCAATAATGCTAGAAGCTAAAATTGTGTATCACATTTATTAAGTTAGTCCCTGATAAAACATGTAACTGATGTCCTAAGCTCTGCCAGAGAAGTGATATATTCAGCCAGGAAAAAGTATTAAAATCACATTATAAATTATTCAAATAAGCACAGAAATATTCCCAACTGTCTTATCTCAAATATTTTAGTGGGCAGATATACACTATTTACAGTGCAAGGATATAGAGACTTTGCTGAGATATCTTGTCACTGTCTTGCTTCACAAGCCATCCTATTTTCACCTTCCTCCTCATCCACCTACCTCATCAGTCAGGAGCAGTGTAATTACACACATTATACAGCACAAACTGTACTGAAGATTGAGCAGGGTACAAACAAACTTGCAGCTGCACTTGTTAAGTTACTAACCTAAGGTCTCCAGCCAACAGCACAGAAGGCTGCTTTACCCTGCAATCATTACCCTATCTTAAAAATAATATAAACAGGAAGTGGGTTAAACTCTTGGATTATGTTAATTCAAAGTCCTTGGTTAAAAACACAGTACTGAAATAATATTCAAAATGTACAAAACACAGTCCTGCATGAAACAAGAAAAATGTCTCATCCATATGGTGAATTCCTGAAAAAAAAGAAAGAAAATACTAACTAATAAAAGTTCTTGGGCATGACTCTTCTAAAACCCAACACAGCCTCCCTTTCATACAACATAGTGCTTGTCCATAAAAATACATGTTTTACTCAGGATGGCCTCTTAAGGAATATGAAGACTTCTTTACAGTTCACAGCCTGCTGATACCAGTCGCTGATACAGGAATGAATTTTAATTAGGATCAATTGGGATGGTGACTTCCAGATATCTGGTTAATATTGTTCAGAGGAAGGCAGTATTGGCAGATATATCAAATAACTGATGTGGTATTGTCTTAAGGCATTTCTTGTGAAACAATTCTTGTTATGTTTGCAATAAAGATTTCCACAGCATACAGGGGTTTGTGAAATAACTCCATGTGTAGAACAGATAAAAGCTCTTGGCTATGCTCCATGCCTCTCAATGTACCCAAGGCATACAATTATTATACGACATCATGTCATGTTCACTGCTCAGCTATTCATTTTGTTCACTGAAAGTTAATAAAACGCTCTTTCACCTGAAATTCCTTGGGCTCTCTTCATTAAAACTTCTGACTGCACAATTCCCTGCATACAACTGCATGACTTAGTACTGTGCAGTGTACTTCATTAGTCATGGTACCTACATAAATTTTCTATAATAGCTGTTAATGCTTCTTTGCTTTCTAAACTACATTGCTTTCTCAACAAAAATGGGTTACACAGACTATAACATTATAGAATATTCATTTTCTATCAGCCATAATAACAAAACTAGCAATTGTTTTAAAGATAAAATATGGCTTTTTAAGTGTCACAATAGCAGAAGTGTTGCCATCCGTACTTCAGTGTCTATAATACATCAGGTTGCTAGCTGCCAAACAAATTTAATTTACCTAGTCCTCAGTTTGCATTAACCTTTGAATAATGAAGCACAGCTGAGACTGCTGTAAGAAACAAACCAGAGAATGAATAATTAAAAACACCTCCACCGTCTTTAGAAAGACCAATCCTGAGTCAACAGGGAAGGTTTAATTGTGACTGAACTAGGCATTAAGGGGCTAATTGAACTCTTTATAAGCCCAAACAAATGCGGTCCTACTTCAGTGGTATGGTATACAAGGTTCAGAGAAAATAAAACTCCTAAGGAAGGAAAAAAAGAATCAGGCAATTATTTCAAATAGAAGAGGCAAGCAGCAGGGGAAGTCTAAAACTTACACCAAAAAAAGCCCATAATATGTGAAAGAAATCCCTTCCCACTTTCTGTAGAAACACTTGTTCTAACACTTAAAGAAGCAATGACTCAGTTGATGCCAGCAGGTTAAAATGGAAGTCATATAAATGTCGATCCCAGAGAAATGGTTGGAAAAAGCACGTAACAAAGCTAGCCCTGTCTCTTTTAGACCTTATTTAGCCAGGAGGAGATGGCTGGGCCCTTTTTGGGCTTGAGTAAGGCTCAGTTTTTTTGATTGGAACTCTCTCTGATAGTGGCATTTTCATACCGTATATTATTTTTATTTGTTTTGCCTATTTATTTAATTGCATTAACATTTGAAATGAGCAATCGTTAATTAGAATAGTTGGAAAATGCTCCATCTGCCAGTTGAACTGTTTCGGCACGTCCAGCTACAAGCCCCGCCTGATCACATTCTGAGGATGCTGATTAACATTAATTGAAGGTTTTCTTTGCAAATGAGAAATGAAGCTTTATTAAGTATTATTATTAATTTGAAGAATAGCTTAAATTGTATGGAGTGTGGGAAGACTGCTGTTATTGACACTGCCTGTTAGAGTGCTTGCTGGCAGCAAGGCTGTTCAGCCGATGTAAAATCCCGACCCGTGTGTGCAGGCAACAGCTGGCATTAAGGGCAACAGCATGCACAAGCATAACATTTTTTTCACTTGTGCATTAATAATACAAAAAGTTTGACAGGTGTATTATCTTTGTTTTCCTTCTTTCCTAATTGTTAAGCCTTTTATTTACCCATGTTACTGGCAACCAGAACGACGACTCATCAGGCTTCACCAGAGAAAATTCCCATATGTGCAAGACCTCAGCCAGAGTCTTATTCTATAAGGTTTAAAATGCAAGAGGATTTAATTAGCCTTCTCTCTTCATGGATATCTGCCCGACACACTGAAGCCCAAATGTTTTATATTCAGTATGATTTATATTCCAGCTCTACTAAAGTTACTGGCAACCAAACCACAGATCTCAAAGAAAGCAAACCAAACAGCTCAGTGCCTGAAGTTCTGTTATCTTTGGAAGGACAGATTCAGATGTGCACCCACTTGGTAAAGGGCAGACTAAATCTGTCTTGAACTCAACTGACCCAGGATCAGTACAAACATACTGCCTGCAACAGCAAACCTACTACTACAGCCATAGGTTCTCTTCAGGGAGAAATAACGGTGGCTGTGGCAGCTACAGGTGGAAGTGGCTGAACTATAAGGATGGTTAGAGGACAAGTCTGCTGTTAGACCAGCAGTTCAGTCTCCCAGTGTGAGCCCTGATGCTGACACCCCAGCAACTCAGCAGGATGGGGTAATCAAGGAACCAGCAAAAAAGCTGCAGTATGACTCTGGAGCTGGTGATCCCCACCTTTCCAGTGTTATCTCCCAGGCAGAATATGTAGCATAGGACCGAGGAGGTGCAGCTGAGCATAAAGCCCCTGGAGACTTGAAGTTATCAATGGCTTGTCATTATTCCCCTGTAGCTGATAAGACACTTCACAGAATACTGTATTTTACCCACTGGAGGGAGGCTTTGCTTACTGGAAAAGCTGGAGTGGGAGGATATGTAGCCAGTTTTCTTCCAGAATGACATCAATATGGGTGTATGAAATTCAGGACAAAAGAGTCAGCACATGTAAACTTTATTTCACTCTCCCTCGCTTCTCCTGTATTTTAGTTCTGACATTGTTTCCCACATACATACTTTTGGGTGAAATGTATGGGCATCAGTTACAGTTACTAGCACAATACTTTAAATGCTATTAGAATGCAATAATTTTGCTTTAAAGTATGCTTATTGCACTGAGTATTCTCTATTCCCTCAGTATGTTTTAGGCAGGCAGCCACTTGAAAGTACTACTGCTAAAAACTGCTTGTCCAGTGCAATGCATTATAAACACCAAGATTTCCCTGCATTTAGAGCATTCTAAAATATGACACAATAGCATCTATTAGATATACCAGATGAAAATCTATCTAGAGAAGTTATCAAAGTACAGTTGGATCTTTTAGCTGTCATTTGTATACAAATTTACTCAATTTGCAGAGAATAATGTGAAAAATTAAAAATACAGAAGGTCAGAAAAAAAGAAGAGTATCTCCCTTGTTTATTAGGTAGTCATATGGAATAGATTAGTCAAAACAATGTTATCATTTTCTAGTCTAACTCATATTTCTTGATGAGGGGTCACATGCTTTCCCAGTGTCTGTAACTGGAGGTAGCATAAACTCATAGTGTGTTTCTGCTGAGGTGGAAAACAAGGACTAGTTCAGTGCCTTCCATTCTTGGTCTCTGAATCTTGCTAGTATACTCTATTAAAGTAGATATTCTTTAACACAAGGGAAAGGCAAGCCTGTAGCACAAAACAAGTAGGAAAATGAATTGTAACTTGCCTTCTGGATTTGACACATGAACAGTGCATGGGGGGGAAGCAATCAGGCCAAATAAAATAGGAAAGCAGATGGTTGGGAGGCCTTCCCACTCCTCAGAACTCAGAAAGAAATTGAAAGATTCTTCTGGAATGCATGAGTTTAAGTTCATTTTTATCCTCCTCCTTTATAACAAGGAAGAAGAAAGCAGAACCAGGATATTATACTAATGTCCATGAACTCACTTTCCATGGCACTGTCTATGGCATTTCATTCCCCTTATTGCATTATCTAATATGAATGGTCCTAGCACACAGAAACACATCAGAACCGGGCTTCCCCTGCCCTATGAGCAGTCCATGGAGAATGCAGTCCCTCTCAAGTGTCTTTGGTAAGATATGACAGCAGAAAGAAGAGGGATACAAGGCTCTTCCTCTTCCTTTTTTTACACAGAGCGTTGACTTTAATGCTTAAGAGATTTCCCTCTGAGGAGAAAGGCTTACTACAGAATGATCTCCATTTCTAAATATTACAACACAGTTTCTTGCAGTTGCATTTCTTCCACATCTAACAGTTATGCAGGAGCAGATCCTGCCTCTAGCTGCCTTCTGTGAATGCTTCTGGGAAGCCACTTACCCAGAGGGCAAAGTGGATACAAAAGTATTGAAGACTGGCAAAATAATTTAAGCACACAGCTGGT